CAGGCACATCGGTGGCCCGGCCAAGGGCCCAGTGCTGTGAGACGGAGAGCGGCCCCTGCCAGCCTTTCGTTTCAAGAGCGAAGCGAAATGCCACTACCGCGCGCGACAGTTAGCCTTGCGATAATAAAGGCAGCCCCCGACAGATCCCCAGAGGCGGGGATCATCGGTTCGGGGAGCATCGCCAACGGAGCCGCCCTTCAGAGAGACCCTCGTCCTCGCTTCCTCCCTGCGCGCGCGCCTCCCTCGCCCGTCGACGTCGTCCACGCTCGCTCGCGAGGAACTTCGAACCCGCCGGTTGCCACAAGGGTCGCAAGAGGAGATGTACTAGAAGAATAGAATGCCTAGGAATCAAATGGAATATCAGGGGGTCACCAACGTTTGCTCTACTGCTTCTGTTCGCAAGAACCGCATTGCCGCTTCTTACGGCCCTCAGAGAGGTATGACATTCTCATTGAAAGCCTGATTTGTTCTTTAATCATTTCGCGTCCTTTTTGGCACACGCTTAACGGGACTCGTTATCCACAAAACTTGTCTATCTAGCATTCATCATTACAAACTGATGGCCGTTTCCACGATGTAGACAGATCACTAACGGATTGGCAGACATTCCGAGCCAGTGCAAAGGTTTAAAGGACAAGAACCTGCACCTCTTGCGATCTGTCTGCTTCACTGAAGGGGAGCTAGTTTATAGTCTCACTTTACAGACTGGTAGTCATACTCTGTCAAAATGTTCATGTGAATGGCGGTAATATCGAAACGAAAGAGGATGCTATCACGATAGACAAACAAACAAACACAATCAGAAATTGGCATTGGGCGTTTGGGCGTGGACCTTTTTGATGGACTGACAAGTCGCAAACAAAGAACAGCCTCAGTCCTTGTTGGCAAAGGTCGAAGCCTCATCACTCTACCCACAAGAGCAATCATATGCGGTGTATTCAAATCAGACAGAGACAGACGTCGCGATTTAAATAAAGCGACCTGAGATCGTGACGATTAGCTTACTTTTCTCTCCTTCACAAAAGAAATGGGCTGTTGTATTCGTGACCGCCCTCTTTTGCCCGTCGTCTCTGCCCACATTCTTCCAGCCCTTTACTACAGAAATGTTGCTTTTCTCCTCGACAAAACAGCGAAATCATGGTTGCGGGATTAGTATAGAAATGCAGAGTCTAGCCGTCGAAAATGGTCTACGCTTGCTCAGAAGTCCTTCTGTAAAATGGCTTCACGTTTGAAGTTGTAAGACATTCAAAGATGGATATAACAGGTAAGTTGTACTGTCGGTTACAGGAATATCACAACTGACGTCTAGGCTATTGACTAAAGAGACTATATGCATATTTCATGGCCTGCTTTAACTGACATTGCCTGTAGGAAGATCTCGCTTGGAAACTGGTCCTCGATATGAGAAACAAAACTACCCAGCTCTGCTTCCAGCTCTAGACTCCTTCCTGGTTGTATACCACGTTCTTTGTAGCGAACCGTGATTTTTGTCACTATCGACATAGGCATACGGTAGAAATTGATGTGCATATCCTGCTGTGTCAGTGCTTTCAAAGCCTTCCTTGTCATAGTGTTTCTGCCAACATCCTGTAAACCCAATTTCTACTCTCTTGACGGACATATCCCAAGAGAAGACTCGCTGCAAATGGAGGAGGACATACCGTTTTGTGAATTCCATGAGGGGATCAGAATGTTTCGAATGTTTGAGCAAGACAGGACTCCCTGTCTCAAGACAAGTTCATATATATGACTTTCCATATGCATGGATCCTCCTCCAAAGCCCACTGTTGAAGGATTAGGCCTCAGAGGAAGGGTAACAAGCATTTGAATCCCGAAAATGGCAACTAGACAGTGTATCTGTTGTATCGTTCGCACAATACGTCTGTAATCCGGCAAGGCTACGGTCTTCGCGTTTTGACCTTGAAGACTGGGAAGCTAGCAAGCAGCTGCTCATGCAGAGCTCCTGTCCTGTCCGAACTTGGTTCGTACCAAACGGACTGTGAAACGCATGTTTCGACAGTCTGCACAGGCTCGTGGAGATGACTTTGAACGAGATGAGAATCGCTCTGGCGATTGTCACAAGCACTGCGAAACACATGACGGACTGCATACATGAAAGGGTCTCTCTCACTAATGACTGTACTGCTGTCTGCTCGGGGCACTTGTGATCAGAGAAGGGTTCAAGCAGACTAGCGCCACCAGTCTCCCTACAAGTTACAGCTGCAGAGGCTCACTCTGGCGTGCCAATTGGAAGATTTGTCACAAGCGGAACTGAAGTAGTAATCTTTGTTGCGAGCAACGGACAGTAGCAGAGTGGTTTTCCTCAACGATAAGAGCAAAAGGGACGCAAGCAAGGGACGCAAGCACAGGCCAAAAAGGCAGGCTCCTGTCGTGGCTGGAGGGCACAAATGAGTGAAGATGGGGACTGCATGCTACGTGCGGGGTCGACAAAGAAAAAGGAGTGTGCTGCAGAGAGTGGAAGCAAAAAGATGTGTAAAAGTAGGATGTGAAAGGGAGTTGGGTGGATGAATTGGTATGTAACGCAGAAGTAGTGCCCTCCGGTGGAGTACCTGTATGCCTTTGGGGAGTGTACGTTGCGCTTGACGCGGAAGCAGGGTATGTACTGTACCCTTGGGTACTGGGCATGGTGGGGTGGTTTCGTCTAGGAGTCACCTCTTCAGTGCTCTTGTTTCGCATGCTGCACGTCCGCATGGCATGCAAGTGTGCAAGCATGCATACACGTCCGAACGAAGGGAATGGCAATGACGTACAACTGCGAAACATCAACATGACCTCTAAACGGCTTGTTCCAGTCCGGTGACACGAGTATCGGTGCACAAGTTACAGCTTCCTTCCATGGAATGGGAGCAGGGGGAGGCAGGCGCAAGCGCGGAAAAGCCTCCGAGCAGAGGGACTCCGCGACTGGTACAAGTTGGTACCCCCCAAAGTTGAACGGAATAAAAAAATAAATGAGAAAACATCTTCTGCTTTACTTCTGGTCTCCATTGTAGTCTCATTTCAACCACAATCCTACCCAGTACACACTACTTGAGCCAATAGGCGTGCAGAAGATTCAACATGGCTGTCATATTTGAAAAGATATACCTGTTTGAAACCCCCATTTATGCAAAATTGCACCTGAGAATTGAACAGCCAAATGGTTGGCCAGTGCAAACAAAATGCAAAATTTTTTACTCAAGAATGTCTTTCCTGACACTGCACGCGCTGATCCGTCAACTCCATTTCGTTAACTGTCTTGTGCTGCGTTCCGTGCAGCAAATTCCCGTTTCGCAGCAATGAGTCTCCGCGCCGACTGCCGTCTCAATGGCATGCGACAAACAGAAACGTTCGGGACGCCGTACACAAGGGCTCGGGCATGCAGCGAACGCTTCTCGAATTCTAATCGAGCAATGTTTGTGCGTTCGTATGCTATTGCGTCCTTTTCGGCTTTTTCTGCCTCCTTCCGACTCCTTTCCGCCCGCTTCGCAGTATCAAAACCATCTCGCTCCCTCGCCTTTCTTAGCTATTGTAGCAGCTTTCCTGCGACTGGCGCCGTGCCTGTCGACCGCAGCGACGGCCTTTTCAAAGCGTCGGTCTGCCTTTGATACTGTTCGCGACCTTCCCATTCCTGCCAGTGTGTGGTTTTGGAGATGAGCTGGTGGCTCGAGTTTGCATTTATTTGCAATGCGCGGCGTCATGTAGGTTTTTATAGCATCGCCAAATCCGAATATGGCGACAAAAGGGTCCTGTTTGCATTTCGCGCGAAGCTACGCCGAGTTAAACATTTCAGGATTGCCATAAATCTGATCGTTTTTGGCATTATGTTAAATCTTGGATATAAAATTCACTTTTAGTTTTGTTCAACAACAGAGTACAGTGTTCAACTTTGGGGGGTACCAACTTGTAGGTTGTTGAAGGAACCGTGGCTCCAGCGCGGCGACGGAGAGATATGCCGCGAATCGAATCCGGCGGTGCGGGTTGGGGCGTGCGCGCAGCGCACGTGACGGGAGGAAAAATATCTGTCCACAGGGGTGCGCGTACGCATGTCCTCGTAGACAAAGCCTTGTTTCGGGCACGCGCCGGGGCTTGTTCGCGCCGCACGCGTGACCGCGCGCTGCGAGGCCGCGAACATTCCACGATTCGGCACGCGCTGGGCACTGGAGGCGGACGGGGCTGGCGACTTACGTGTTTTTTTCCCACAAACACGCAACGCACCAGCCCCCATTCGCCGTCCAAGCGCCGCAAATAGATAGCGCCGTATCTCACGACACTCGCGCAGGGCGCGCGGCGCGATGGCAGAGCGCGGAGCGGGCTGCCAATTGCAAGCTGCAAACGGGTTGGTTGTGCCTTTGCCCTGCTCCTCGCGGGCGCCTGCGCTTCGGCGACGCGAGGCCACGCGGCTATGCTTTCCGAGTTTGATCTACCCAAGGGTACCCAAGGGTAGCAGATATTTCTACTTAGGATTGCGAAAAATGGAGCTTGTTGATTTATTTTGGTTGTCTCGTATTTTCCCCGGTGTCCGACCGTTGGGTACTCAGCTACTCTTTAAGTACCATGTTTCTGTGTGAGCAATACTCAAACACTCTCGGCAATGGTTGCTGATAAAATGCAGTAGCCGACCGGTATGATCGGTTTGATTGCACTTTCGTGCTGTGCATTGTTTTATCACAAGGATCACGCCCATACATCTCAACGCATTGCTCAGGCGAAGATTCGCGTCGCGTTGCGCCGTCGGGACGCGTCAACGCTGCGGGCGTCGGTGACGCTGTCGGAACACCTGGTCGGTCGCCTCGACCAATCGTGAATCCATTCGCTCCCCAGAATCATAAATTCCCAAAATTTCCTTCCGCTAGATTCGCTCTCGACACCTTCGCCCATTTTCAAAAATCAAAAAATGAGCACACCCCCCTTCCCCAACCTTCATCCCCCCCCCGCCCCCCCCGCCCCCTCCTATCATCCCCATCCCGGCCCCTACCATGCTCCCCCGCTAGCGCTGCACCATGGTCCTCATCCATGGCGTGTTGCTGCACGGCCGCCTCGAGCTCAGCATTCTCGAGGCCAAGGACCTCTGGCTTCCCGAGGAGCGCTCGACACGCGAAAAGCTTGCGCGCGCCGTCATATGCAATAGCACCCTCAACCCCTACGTCACCGTATCGCTGGAGCATCTGCCCAAGCCGTCCAAGCGCATTCTCAAGACACATGCAGTCCCCGCCACGGACCATCCCGCCTGGAACCATCGCCAGAGCGTCGACGTCGCCACCAATGTCTCGTATCTCATCGTCCATGTCAAATCTGCCGCGGGGCATGACCCGGCCCAGGCAGCATGGTATCCACGAAAGGGTCTCGGATTTGTTCGCGTCAAGGCGGAGCATGTAATCTGGGGTGTCGTCGATGGTTGGTTTTCACTCGCCGGCTTGCATGGCATCAACCAGGATAGCAAGAGTTCGAAGAATCGTGGCAGGATTAGGCTGTCCATCAAGTACTCGCCCGTCGATTCCATGAAGCTCTTCGGCCAGCCTTCGGTCCCCGGTACCTATTTCTCCGCTGCGGAAAACTGCCACGTCCAGCTTTTTCAGGATGCTCACTGCCCGCATGATGCTGTGCTTCCAATCCCGGGCAGCAGCGACGATTTATTTGAGGTGCCGCCCCTCGGTAGCCCACATTCGTTATCGAGAATCCTGTCGCCGCCGCGACGCAGACGCGTCACAAACTACTTCGAGCAGATTTATCACGCATTGCTCCACGCGCAAAAGCTCATCTACATTTGTGGATGGTCTGTCGATACGACCTTGCATCTACTACGGAAGAAGCCATCTCCTACGTGTGACCTAGATGGTAGCCCGACAAGCTCCAATGATTCACAGCTCACCCTGGGCGAGCTGCTCAAGCACAAGGCCTTGGCGGGTGTCACTGTCTTGCTCATGGTCTGGGACGAAGTGTTTTCCACTAGCAACGCCATTATTCGCATCAAAGGCCTCATGGACACCCGCGACGAGATTACAAAGAAGTTTTTTAGAAACTCCAAGGTGAAGGCGGCTGTCGTGCCGCGCCTGAGCGGCATTTCTACAAAGGTCATCAGAGCACCGCTTGTACCCTGCCTGTTTACGTTTCATGAAAAGCTTGTCATCACGGATATTTCCGCATACAATCCCAGCAAGCCAGGCGACAGGGAGCTCGTCGCATTCTGTGGTGGACTTGACTTGACTTACGGGAGATGGGACACTCCCAAACATGCACCGTTCTCGACTTTGGAGAATGAGCACGCCAACGATTTCCACAACGGCTGTTTCGACGTCAGTATTCCTTTGGGACCGCGCCAGCCATGGCATGATGTTGCCGCCATGATTACGGGACCCGTCGTTCGACAATTTGTTCGCTGTTTTGAGGAGCGATGGCGAAGACAGGGCCTTGGCGCCAACCTCCTCCTCGATCTCGATTCTGATCCGACTTTGAGAGATGGCACTTTTGTGCATGAAACGGAGAAGTGGACTGTGCAGGTCTTTCGATCCATTGACGAAAGGTCGGCCGTTTTTGACAAGGAGTTTGCTAGAAGGCTGGAGACCAAGAAGGGTAGGAGCATTGACCGCTCCATCCACCATGCGTACGTGCACTATACACGTGCAGCAAATAGATGTAAGTTGTCATTCTCTTCTTATTTCAGTCGTTGTCTGTCCCGACGACTGCGGCTTTTTTGTGACCTTTGTGGAGGCCTCTTCAATGATAACTCTTTGTTCTAACAAATTCGTTAACCTATCTGGTTTGATCAAATCTGCACTCCGTGCCGTTTATTGCAGTCATTTACATTGAGCAACAATATTTTCTCGGAAGCTCAAATCAATGGTTGCATGACGGTCATAAGGATGCTACGAACTTGATTCCCAACGAAATTGCTTTGAAGATCATTCACGGAATCATGTCTGGGAATCACTTCCGGGCCTATGTCGTTATACCGATGTTCCCAGAAGGTGCACCGGCAGATACTGTGATTCAAAAGATCTTGTACTTTCAGAGACGAACGGTGGAAATGATGATGCGAAAGATTGCAGATGCCATAACCCAGGCAGGTCTGCAAGATGCTCATCCTTCAGACTTTTTGGCCTTCTTCTGTTTAGGGAACAGAGAGACTCTGGGCGTCAAAGACGATTCATCTTCAGACAGATCGCCAAGCTTCAGCACAGACGGATCCTTTAAAGAGCCTCAAAGAATACCGCTGCGTCGACGGGAAACAACAGAAAGCAAGAGTGATGACAATAAGTCAGAAACGAGCCGACGTAGACAGGGCTCAAGCTTGTCAAGAAGATTGTCATCATTTCGTCGGAATGGCCCGCGAACTACGGATGAAGAAACCTTAGGAATGAGCAGGAGACATCCCATTTACGTTCATTCGAAACTTTTTATCGCTGATGACGAAGTTCTCGTCGCCGGGTCAGCTAACTTGAACGAGAGGAGCATGTGTGGAGTACGAGACTCAGAAATTGCATTCAGTGCATTTCAGCCAAGCCACAGGTGGAATCCAGATGCTAAGCCTGAGGATAGCTTGCCAAGCGGAGAAGTAGCTCGTTTTCGAAGACGCCTTTGGGCAGAACATGTGTTATGCAGTGCGAAACGGAAGTTTCCGGATGTATTGGAGGACCCGTCCTCTTTGGGATGTATGAGGGAATTGCAGAGGATTGGAAGAAGGAATTGGGAAGACTATGTGGCCTCGCGTTCCACTGATATGAAATCCCACTTGATGACGTATCCCTATCAAATTGAAGCGGACGGCACGGTGGGTGCGCTTGTGCCCCACTTTCCAGACACCCGAGCATCGATCACAGGGGCCAACGCTGCAGTGATCCCAAACTTGTTGGTGTCTTGATCACAGAGGGCTAGCGTCACTGCAACAGCACTGGTATCGTGTCAGAGACTTCGCCATGTTTCCATTTCCGTACTAATCTCCTTTGTGAACATACCAGGCCTCGCTCATAGATTAGCATAGTGTAGAGGCACAGAAGTAGAATCCTAATTATCGACGTTCGCGAGCCGAGGCCCGAAAGCACTGTCACCGAAGAGGGTACGACTGCATGACTTGTTCCAATTTTGAAGTTGACCTTTTACATGATAAAGAACAGTGAACTAAACCACTTACAAGAAGAAATATTCCGAACGACACAAAGCAAGGTAGTAGAAGATATAGGGTACATGGCAAAATGTACAACTTTGAGTTATTTCCACTTCGAATTTTGGAACAACCCTTCAAAGGACAATGCAAAACGAAGAGCCCCATAATAGACCGTCACGTATTGAAAAACTATTATACAGAAACCCAAGTCTCCCTCACATTCCTCCCAGAATATGAGGACGACAATAACGCGTCTTACTGCATCGAGACCGGGCGGTATGGCGCCTCTGGGAGTCTCCCCCTAAAATTCGGGGTCTCAAACTGCGAGAACTTGAAGCAAGCGAGCTCTTGATTGTTAACCTCATCGATGAAAATGGCTTCGGCAATCATCATTTCCGTGCCATCCCTTGTCTGATACCATAAGGTCTCATTCGGCGCCGGCCTCCCCACGCTCAGCAAGCCCTTCATCACGCTCTCTAACGCTTTCTCAATATCCTCCGCCTTGAGCGGCTCCTTAAACCCCTGCTTGGTGACGAAGAAGTGATTCTCGACGCGCTTCGCAAACGTCTTCACGGTCGCGCTCGCGACGTCAATCTGCACGTCCGCAAACGCCTTCGACATGGCGGCCAGCAGCCCCGGGCGGTCCAGCGTCTGCACGGCGAAGACGGTGTATCGATCCGCGCGGTTCTTCTGAATGGAAATGCGATGCCACATATGATCGAACGCGGGCTTGGGCCGGGGGTGCGGCCCGTTGAGCTCGATCTTCAAGCACTCTGCGACCTGGGCGAGGCGCTCGCCGTCGTCGAAGATCTTCTCGCCTGTCGCCTCGTCCGAGATCCAGAAGGCGACGCAGTTGTGCAGCGACAGATTCAACTCGTTTAAGCTGACGAGCTCGCCCTCGATGCGCGACATGAGGAGGCGGAGGGCGTCATTCTCAGACGAGGCCGTGCGGTGCACGCGCACGGACAGGGCCTTGAGGACAGAGACGACGTCGAGCACGAAGCCGTGGCGGTCCTCCGCAAACACGATGGCCAGCGTGTGGCGGTCGTCGACCGAGTTGTCGAAGAAGACCTGCGTGTGGTTCTCCCGCATCGGGAAGAGATACTTGTCGGCCAGCTTCTGTAGCGCGGGGGAGTCCGACACGCACTCCTCCGACAGGATGCACTCCGCGCCGAAGGTGCACACGTCATCGTCCGAGCCGTAGATGGGCGTGGGGAGGGCGGAGCGGGGCGCCGGCGAGACGCTGTCGAGAGAGGCGCGCGCGTGGCGCGCGGGCGGGCGGGAGCGGCGCGGGGCGGGGCGGAGAAAGAGAGGGGTGGGCGGAATGAAGGCCATGGTGGATGCTCGGGGGTGAGGGGCTGCGGGAGGGGGCGAGTGGGCAGCGTGTGTGGGAAGAGTTGGGTAAACGGTAGCGTGTCAGAGAAGGGGGTTTTGATTTTGTAAGTAGGGGGTGAAGCGTTGCGAAATTGAGCCTGGGGATGGCGGAGACGTGTGGTGGGTATTGGGCGGAAATGGGGCAGACAGGCGCCGGTTCGGCATTGCGTTGAAATATCCCACATCTCGCTTGGACCAGATTGAGGTTTGGGGACACGTGTGTTGGTAAAGTGCGATTGCGAGCTGCACGCAATCCATCCGATCATCACCACAGTCCACATTTGCATTACTTCTCTCCTTTCTCCAAACTTCATTAATTTTTCGTCCTTCGGGTTTGTCATACATACGCACGTGTACACACGTGTAAATTACAGTACTTGTCGAGCCACTTTCAAAAGGTCAAACGTCTATAGTATTCCATCGTGTCAAGGTTTCCGGGACTCTCTTCTCAGCGTGCTCTGGTGAGTCACTTTCGACAAGGCGACGGGAACACCAACTCGAACACTTCCTCTAGATATTCCTCTGACAAGCACTCTCGAGGAAGAAACCGAGAGCAAGTGCGAAGCAAATCATTGCAAAGACCTCGATCAAAAATCCTCGCTACAAACATCCAACACTACCTCGAGCCATACCATATCCCTTTCTCAAAAGCACGCCGACCACTTTCTCGAAATCGATCTCGGCAGCAACGAGCTCCGTTTCGACCTTCTTCCGCCTTCCAAAGTCTGCGCGAGGTCTCTCTCATCCGCGTCCAACGCCCGATCAACCCTATGCCCAATGACGTCCGCCTTCTTACTCGGTCTCAAGCTGAATCTCTTCTTCCCATCTCTAGCGTCAATGGCGGCGTCCTCCCTATCCGGCTGCCTCATGGCCGGGTCGACGCCTCTCAACGGGCGCACGCTCCTGACCGCGCGGTGCACGTGCCTCGCATCATTCCTCTTCTTCGCGCCGCGAATCTCATCGACGGACAGCATGCGCTCCGACGGCTTCATGTGGCGCTGCTTGGACTCCGTCGCGAGCTGCATGCGGAGCCTGCGGTTCTCGTCATTCGCTTGCGCCAGCTGGCGGCCGGCGGTCGTGCGGAACGCCTGGAAGTCGCGCTCCAGGCGCGACACCTGATCCAGCGCGGCCGACAGCTTGGTTGCGAGGTCGGTCGAGGAAGGCGTCGCTTGGATCAGCGCGCGGTGCTCGCGGTGCTGTAGCAGCAGCGACCGTAGTGCCTCGTCGCGCGGCGTCCCCGCCGGAAGCGTGACCGGCGCGGCTTTGCCGCCGGCCATGTGCGCCAGTGGCGGCCGGTTGATGTGCGTGGGGTTGGGCTGGAAGGGGCGTCGGGGGAGAGGGGCGGCGGTCGACATGTCTGCGGAGGCGATGGTGGGAGAGGGGGTGCGGATGGG